TTCAGAAACAGGTGTAAACCACCATCTCCTTCATAGATCTTGTCATAGTATCCATCAAAACCCATTGGTCCAGCTCTCAAATGCTGATGTCAATGTACGTGATGCATGCTGTGCTGTTAAGTTTTGAATGGATGACACCTTCCACAGCAATACTACAAACCTGATGAAATTTGCATGACAAAAATAATATTCCAATATTCCCCGAAGAGATTTTAAACAAAAGTTGGATACAGCTACTTTCTGTCATAGTCAAAGTCAATTTACTTTTTAAATGAAATATACACTGTTGCATTCTCTTCATTGGTTTTTACAAAGGGTTGCTATGGTATGTTACGTTTATGAATATGCTCACATATTCAGGTTGTATATATAAACTAAACATAATCAAAGGCTCCATATCAGTTCTTAATTTTGATATTAAAATGTCTGACCACAGACCTTCCAAGTAGTATTCACAGTACTAGTAGTAAGAAAAATTATCCTTTCTATTTTTTTTCCTTACCTTTTCACAGGTTCTCTGAGTTTGAAAATTGAGTTTATAGAAAATTCTAAAGAAATAATCCCATTAAAAATTTGGGATAATTGGTAAAATGAGTTGACAATACATATTTCCCACTTAAAAGTAATCTGACATTGATTTGCAATTTTAAATTCCCCAATCCAATATGCTATATTCTTGTTTTTCTCATGATTCTATAATTGCTAGATATTTGAATAACATCATATTCATTTTTAGTTATTTTTAAAATTCTGTACTTCTTATACTTCTGTATTAAACTTATAACAATTCTAGTTTCAGGTTCAATGAACTAAGAAATACTAAACATCAGAACAGTTTAGCCAGCCAGATTTTATTTATTTACTTATTTATTTAATTTTGGTGGCTGGCCAGTTCAGAGATCCAAACCCGTGACCTTGGTATTACAAGGCTGTGCTTTAACCACCTGAGCTAACTGGCCAGCCTAGCCAGACTTTAATAAGCAAAAAAAGGTTGCTTTGGCAATGTATAAAAGGAAAACTGTTCTAGTACAATCATTAATCTACTTAATATTAAAATGCAATAAGGCAATTATTGTTTTAAGACACATGAAATTGCATTCGATAAATGGATAACTGGCCCCACACCTGAAATATTGCACCCCTACTTTTTTTCTCTATTTACTGTAAAGACCCAAAAAAGTTATTTTAAAAAAACAGACCAGGGCCGAGCCCGTGGCGCACTCGGGAGAGTGCGGCGCTCCCACCGCGGGATCGGATCCTATATAGGGATGGCGATCCCGTTACCGGTCACGAAAAAAGACAAAAAGGAAAAAAAAAAAAAAAAAGAAGAAGACAATGAATAATAATATCTTTTAAGGTTTTTCCCTTTAATGTATTTCTGCCATCTCCTGTTCTGTTCTTTCGAATTCACTCATAACAACTCAACTGAAAGTATCCATACTGAGGAATAAATAGATGTAATTTATTGTTTAATCTGCCATTCAAGGCAGGGCAGTGATTTGTAAACCTGGCTTCCTATCAAAATCATCTGGGAAAACTGCTGCAATAGATTCCTGGGCCCCCTTCGGACCCAAGGAAGCAGTCCCCCTCTACCCCCAGCCTCCCCTGCTGCATATGTGGTTAGTCTTGCATAACACAACATACTGGATGGCTAAAGGACAAGGAAGATATCTGTGTTTCCACAAGTCCTAGCTCACAAACTGGGATCCAGTAAAAAGATAAAATGTTGAATAAGTATTAAATGATCAGTGAGTTGGATGGTCAGGAAGCAACTCTAGTATCAACAAATCAAATAAAGCTAGCCCTGCTGCACCCTTCCATGGAAGCCAACACCTTTCCTGACCCCAGAGAGCCAAGGCAAGTAGGCAGTGACATATGGTGGGGGACTGCAACTCTAAAAGAAAATGTTTCCACACCATCACTCTCCATCTTGATTTTCCCACTCTCATTCCATCTTCTCTTACTCCGCCTTTTGCCGTTCTCACTCTTTTTCCTTCTCTTCCCTCTCCCTTTTTCTCACTTTCTCTATTTTCCTTCTTTTTTAATTATTCATTTACATCATTCTTTTCTTCTCTACTTTCTCTTCCTTAAAAACTTTTCCTTACTTAATATAAACAAAACCCGTGCTGGAGATATATGTCAGAAAACATTCAGCCTAAGGAAACGGAATAATCTCTACAGGAGAACCCAGGGCAAAAGAGAACTTAGACAGTAACACTGGTGTGGCATAATGTAAGCCAAGCAGAATGCTTTCAAATCCATGATCTCTTCAGAGTCTCACCTTCTTTTGAGGTTTGAAGGGCATATTGATTGTATCTAAAAACCTAAGGCACAGAGAAGGTTAAATGACATATCTGAGGTCCCTAGCTAAGAAGAGAATCCAAATCTAGTTCACAGTCTGGTCTTCTTTTCATTACATCAATAACACCTAACTGGAAGCAAGATGAGAGAGCAAAGAGAGAACAGTAATATTGTTCCAGGCTCTAAAGTGTCCAAAGGTAACTTGGTTACCTTATACATTGTGAACTACTCTTCATAAAAAAGGAAAAAAAGTATGTATTTTCTTAAAATGTAAATCATAATATCTATGTTCTAAAGGTTTTCCAAGTTCTCTTAAGATGGCTACTTCACACAAATGAAGTTTGACTCCACTTTAAAGTTACTCCACTTTGGTAATACTGTAGCCCAGAGATATTTCTGAGGTCAAAATTGTTCTAACACACAGACTCAAAGAATATATCATGTAATTTACATAAACTGCATAGATATACAATGTTTTATGAAAGATCATTTATACTGAAAAATATGTAGTAAGTTCTTCAAGCTGTCCATCTATAATTTAACCTCATTAACTCTGAGAACTGCATTTCCTAACAATTCTCAAGGAAAAAGTTACTTTGTCTAAAGATAAACTCAGATAATTCATTTTTAAATTGTTATAGACATACTGTGATACCCTTAATTTTAGGTAAAAACAGTACCTACACAGAGCGTATTCACCATAACACAATTTATGTTAAAATGCTCACTTAGGTCCACAATGCAGACTGTGCAACAACATAAACAAGCCACAGATGAGTGAGACCACAGTCCAGTTGGGTTAAACGATGACCACGCTCCACACAGTCCCAATCAATAGTATTAGAGCCCACTGAGGAAATTAAATTTTAAGAAATTTATTAATATAAATCCAAGTCTTGTCAATAACTGCTTCCCCCAATATAATATTTCAAAATCACATTTATAATCTACCAACTGTGCCAAGAACTGTGGCATCCTCACTTTCACCCTTGAGTTGGCAAAATAATTTCCAGTGGTTCCCAAACTAGCTGACATCAAAACCATCTGAGGTGCTGTTAAAAATGGGATCAATTTAGTTTTGTACCCTGATTCTAACAAACTAAAGGATGGAATATTTAAGATCATCAGGAAAATTTGTTTAAGGACTAGATATTACATGAAAGCACTGTTACTACTTTTGTTAGATATGATGTCATTGTAGTTACCAAAGCGGTCATAGATGTAAAATAACATGATATCTGGGATTTTATTTAAGATAGTTCAACAAAGAAAAAGGGATAAATGAAGAAAATATGGTAAAATACTGATGTGTTAGATCTGAATGTTAAGCACCACTGCATTATGCTCTTCACTTTCACTTAATTTTCAAATCTCTTCATTAAAAATTTTTTTGTAGACTCCAGAGTCTCCAAAGGGTGAAGCTCAGGAATTTATTCTTAACAAGCTCCAGAGAGTCTTACATAGCCAGGAAGGCAACGGTCTCATCTGGGGGCCATTATAAGTGACCTTATATTTATTTACCCTCCAAACTTCAAAATTTTAGAATTCTCATTTTTTACTCAGCAAACTCGGTTTTAACACAACACAGTTCACAGGTTCTTATATCCACAATGGCACTCTGCCAAGGAAGTAGAGCTCCTGCTCTCTAAATCCATCTGCAATTCTCATTTTTTACTCAGCAAACTCGGTTTTAACACAACACAGTTCACAGGTTCTTATATTCACAATGGCACTCTGCCAAGGAAGTAGAGCTCCTGCTCTCTAAATCCATCTGTTCTAAGAGTGCTAGGCTGGTTAACGTCTAATTCGCCCTTCTTAATCTCCTCTCTTAGTTTACCCTTGACTGAACTGCAGAAGGACAGGGGACAACTGCACTGACCATCTCGTTCTGCATATTCCATGTCTCCGCAGAGGCCATTCTATCTTCACAAAGCCAATTGCCACAATTTTCACAGGAGTGATATTTTTCCTTCATGATTTTCCTTCTCTATTTAAGCATTAAAATATCAAAGAGAGAAAAAGAAGATAACCACATTGCACTTGGTAAAACGATGTGTGCCCTAGCACAGTACATGCTAAGTACTCAGAATCTAAGATAGCAGATGAAGAACACAAGAGAAGTAATATTTTTCTCATCTTCAAGATTTAAAAAAATTAACTGTCTTAAGTGATGTTCAAAAAAGGAAGATATGCACATTAAACCAATCAAAACCACTTTTTCCATAGTCAGATGTAACAACCTTCTTATAAACCAAGTCATCCACCAAAGTTGTCTAACTTACATAAAGTAAGGTTCTATTCATTTGCTTTGAAAATATCTTGCAAGGTCATTTTGAGGTAGAAGAAATGTTTAAGAGGACCACTTTCTTTCTACTTCATTGTAACTACAACTACTGATTGCAGTATGTATACAGCTTATGCATTTTGGTCCATCACATTTTCCACCATTATATTAGTATACAATTAAGGTTCTCACTTTATTATCAACATAATTTATTTGCTTCCAGAATGCCCAGTAAAGCTGAAAATTTTCATTTAAAGTGATAAAAAAAAAAAAAAAAATCCCCAAAGATTTGTTTAACAATCTTATACCTAAGTTTTGGTAAGACAGTTTAACACTCACAAAACGAAAACACTACATTGCTTCCAGAATGCCCAGTAAAGCTGAAAATTTTCATTTAAAGTGATAAAAAAAAAAAAAATCCCCAAAGATTTGTTTAACAATCTTATACCTAAGTTTTGGTAAGACAGTTTAACACTCACAAAACGAAAACACTACTTTTTTTTTTCTCTCTCTCCCCTCTCCTCACTCTCACAAACATATACACAGACTAAAACCCGAAACTATTTTTCCTCTCTTTTTATATAGCTCGATTTTTAACATGCAGCTTACAATCTAAAAATATTTTAAACATGATTGTCACAAAAATATTTTAAAACAGAGATGAAATGTATAAAGGCACACATAGATTGTCAATGTTTACATCACATTTCTTTAGAAACAGAACCTTTTCTGCTCCTGTAAACAACTTTTTTCTCACACATTTAAAGTGAGGTTAGTGCTCACATAAAATTATTGCTATACTCACAGTGTGAGTGTTTCCACTGTGTATGAGGTACATTTTCTCCATCCATACACCCTACCATTCTTACTCATTTGAGAGTAACAGTCAACAGAAGTCTGCAGGCTACAACCATTTGATAATGTTTTCATCAATACTGGAATGACAGCAAGTAACATTACAAAACATCAAAGATCAAAAATGTCTTCTTGTTGGAGATCGAGGTTATTCTTCATTATATAAATATACTACTCATTTAACTTCCTCAGGAAAAAAATTATTCTGGAGATGAATAATTCCTTCCTGAATACTTCATCCAAGACTATTCCTTCACACTTATCCTCTTATACTTTGTTGTTTTCATCCACTTGATTTATCAATCATCAAGAATCACCTTTCCTTTGGTGGTCTGTCATAACGGTCTCTTATGCTTTTTGTTAGTTGTTTGACAAATATTTTGTAACTCTTCCCACAGTATGTATGCACTGTCTTTTGTAGTTCCAGTTCTAAAGGTTTTAATAAGGAATGGATACTGTCATCTTCAAAAGAACACTAGAGAAAGAAAATAAAAAGGTAAAGATACACATATAAATTTAATTATTTTCCAAACAACTTCTCCTTAATATTAACAACCTCCATTTAATGTCTCTCAAAAAGTATTTGCTCAAATATTTTCAATGAATTAAATAGAACTATGATCTCACATTAGAGAAGGGTGACAGTCATGGTAAATCTATGGAGAATCAGGGAAAGCTTTTCAGAGAAGGGGTAATGGGGGCAGCGCATTCCAAGCCAAGGGAAGAACATGTTCAAGGGTTGAGAAGACCCAGAGATACTGGTGTAAGAAAACGTACAAAAGCTCTGCAGGTACCTAGGAGAAACTAATAAAAACTGAACTAGTTTTTTTTAAAAGGGCCTTACCATGCACCCCACCCCCACCCCACCTTCCAAAATCACTCTGGTAATACCATTGAGGCTGAACTGGAAAGGAATGAGATAGAGACATGGGGTGGGAGGAATGCAGCATTTCCCAAAAAACCCTAACTGCACACAAGGATCCCAAGGATAAATACATCTGAGAAATGCTAAATATTGTACTCTCTTCATGGGGATTGAGATTGGCACATGAAAAAGTCTAAAAAGTAAAACAGAAACATCTGTTACATGTTGCTAAGCCCAGTTCCAAAATATATTTTTGACCAGAGTCTTTTTTTACTATAAAATATATTAATATCCCAAGGAATATATTTTGGAAAATACTGTAGTAGTAGTTGAGTGGAAATAATTTGTGATATTAGTATTTTCAACCAGGTATATTTTGTGATTTAGTATTTTTCAAGTAGATATATTTTCAATTAGAAAGATAGATGGGGCTTGAAAATAGAACATTTTACATAAAAGTCTGAAGTCAATAAAAAAATGCAAAATTACAAGGAAATACAGAACCTGAAGTCCCTTAAGGCTGCAAGTGTCCTGAAGTTATCCCTGAGGTTCACTAGTGTGCTGAGGGAGAAGAAATGAAAGCACCAACCCAAGCACAATTAGTGTGAGTCTGTATGAAAAATCTAAGGAGAACAGGATGAACTTAGATTCTTATTTATAATAAGGATTTTATCAGTGTAGAGATGCAAAGAGATTATAAATCCTGGTATCTCTTGAGCAAGAAAATTGTGACCACTGACCACATGAATCACTCCTCAAGTAATTTTTAAAAATCAATCACAATACTGAAGATAAAGATCGAAAATTATTTTGAAGATAAAAAAAGGAGGGGAAGCTTAAGCTAGGAACAATGTAATGAAAGTAGCAGTAGGACATAGAGTGCTTCCTACATTCTAGATGCGATTCAAATAGCTTTTAGGTATTAATGCATTTTGAGCCTCACAATAACTTTATAATAGGTAATATTATTATCTCCATTTTACCATGAAACAGCTAAGGCAGGAAGAGAGAATTCCCACAGTTACAAATCTAGTAAATGGCTTAACCAGGATTCTGCCCCAGTAGCCTAGCTCCAAAAGTCTAAGCACTTCACCACCCCACAGCACTGCTTATCCAAATAAGCAAATGAAACCATCCTAAGGCAGTTTCAAAAATCCTGTTGGATGAAGCTCAATGAAAAGTGGAAAACTGGGGAAAGTGCTGTACTGTATATAGACATGTCTAAATTTGTTTGGGGTTAAAAGTGGCAGCCAGGTTGAAAAAGGTAAACTTCATCAAGTGATACTGTCAACGAACATTTCAACATGTACAAAACACATGCTTGAACAACTGGTTGAGAGGTGGATAATAACAGGAAGCCCAAATTCTGATCTTTTCTGACTATACAATGACAATAAAATGAAAACACTGTAAAGGCATTTAAGATTTCGAGGAAGACTGCTGATTCCCAGGACTACACAGTACTTGAGATTCCATTCATTCATTTTCCTATGATTTAAATCCCAGTGCCTGCGGTTAAAAAATTTTTCTTCTTCACTAAGGGGGGAAAAAAGGCCTTTTGGTGAAAATTTTCTAAAATAAAAGCTGTGTCTCAAGAATTAGACTTCTTTCAGCCCACCACATGTCACAAACAATTTGACCTTTCAGGGAGAAGATGATAAAGTACCAAAACTTCCACTATATAAATATAACCTAAAGACACTACATTCTGCCATTCACATAATCTGCAGCGTCCAGAACTGTGCAGAACCTAACCTGCATCTGGGTGTCCCTTTCCACATATGCCCTAACCTGACCCCAGGCTTCTTTCCCTACTGTCTGCTGCGCCTGACGCGTCCTCACCTTTCCTTCTCTGCCTTGTACTCATCCTTACAGCTCAATTCAAATGTCAGCTTCTCTGAGAAGCTTTTACCAACACAATTAATCATTCCCTCTTTTTCACTGGCAAGTACCCAGTACACAAATTTTTAGGAAGGTCATGCTTTCTACATATGACTGTCAGTTGAAAGGCAGGAAACAAATAGTGAGACTATCATGACCACAATTAGGCAATCTGAGGCACTTTCAAAGAACTGAACATGTTTGAAAAGTATAGCAGAATGGCAGTTCAATCCAAGAAATCCTGAGTGTCGACTACATACAAAGAGGTACTGTGGGAAGGAAAACATTCAAGACTCTCCTTTGCAGAGATAGTTATGCAAATATAAGCAGGGTGTGAAGTAAACTAAAGTCAACACAGAAACACCAAGAACTATAATAATTCAGAATGAAATACATGAAGCAGAAAGCACCTTATAGAGCCATAAAATGTTTTATTCCCATTTTGAATTTGCAATTTTTAAACTCAATATTTTCATTTACTCAACAACTAATATTTAACAAGAATGTATGGACTGTAAAAATTGATTTCCTGGCAGATTTTAAAGATAGCTCACATCCTTTATAATTCATACTGTTCATTGCATTCCATGGTTATAACTAAGCTTCTGTCTGAAACTTGCATAAATACCCTGGGCCTAATGCAATTCTTTAAAAAATTACACTTCTCACTGAATTATATATAAGGGAAGATTAAAAACACTAACCAAGAGCACCATAAAAGACTGATTAAGTTTAAGTTGAAAAATGGATAGATATAAGCTGTAGTTAACACAGACCCAAAACAAACACAAAAAATCTTTAATTCAGTATTTGAAATCATTTTAAAAATAAGATTTATTTTTTAAAAATCAAGTGTAATTAATCAACTTAACACTATTACTCAGATTTTTAAAGGTACATATTTATAAACCAAAGAAAGATCAAATAAAACTAGAGAAATTTAATTCTTTTAACAATAGATCTTTCTAAACGCTCAAAGGAAATAAAGAAATCACATTTTTATAGGAATGCATTTCTTTTCTATCCTGCAAAGTCTCAAAATCCCAAAAGTACTTTTCTTCATTTTCACCACCTTCTGACAACCCATAATAAAGCATTATTAAAATACAGTATTAATTTCTGAAGGCGTACAAGGCCTGCTACATTAAAATGAACATCAACACAATTTTATAATTCTTCAGTGACTGTATTCTTATCATGATAAACTGATTTTTTAAGAAAACTTATCTATCAAGTTTATGGGACAAAAAACTTAGCAAATAATACACTAAAACTAGCCTTCAATGCTATTAGTACTTTGTCTACCAAGTTTAAGAAACACTGATTTCAGGGAGAAAACTTCAGGTTCCTTATCACAGCGATCACCCCCGTAACATAGCATACCAAGTCCATGTCCATCTTCATCCCAGCCTCTGCCTACCTTCATCCATCACTACAGTCAGGCTGAATAGCTCAACACATAACCTCTCCATGAATCTTTTTTTCTAAACCTTCTACTCAGGCAGTTCTTGGCCTAGACTACCCCGCTCATCTGGCAAACTCTTACTCTTCAGAGCCTACTTCAAATACCTTCTCTTCAATGAGGCCTTCCCTGGCCCTTCAAGGAAAAACTGTTTCATTCTTTCACTGTTCTAAGTAAAGTTTGTCACTATCAATTATGATTAAGTGTTTTTATTCTATCAGTGAGGCTACACTAGACCAGAGGTTTTCAGTCATTAGCAAATAATGAGAACGTAGCAAATAGGGGTCTCATCAGCTCTTCTCCTGACCCCCACCCTGAAACTAAACTACTACTCCTACTATTTATATATGTTTTGTTTTCACAACCACATAAGATTAAGCACAGTCTGGCACAGCAGATAACACATCTGTGTGAGAGGTGAGTTGTCGCATAGACTTCTCCCTAGGTAGCAGTGAATTAGCTGACATGGATAATGATACAGCTCATTAAGTAACAGCATAAATCCAAGCCTCCTTTGGATCTGCCCCAACTGTTGGTGCCTAACATATTTACAGAGACCTGGTTCATGCATCCATCTAGAGGTATATGAAGTATAATCATCTCCCCTCGTCAATCCACCTTAATTACGAAAAGGGGGACTGTAAGAACGGGAAGAAAAGAGAGAACAGATATCTGGGGAAAGAGTAGGACATGGAGCAGAATAATTTTTTTAAAAAACTCATTATAAAGCAAATGCTTAAAAGAGAAAACCCCATTTACAAAAGTACAAAAAAGATAAAAAAGCATAAACTTAGGATATGTTCAAAACCTATAAAGAAGACTATAAAACATTCCTGGAAAAACAGCCCTTATTCTTGGTTAGAATGTCTCAACATCATCATGTCAGCAGTTCCTCAGTTATATATGAAGTTAATATGCTCCCAATAAAAATACCAACAAGCTTTTTTATATAGTTAAACAAGTCGATACTTGTGGGAAAATAAATACGTAATAGCTAGGAAAACCCTGAAAAGCACACGCCATGAAGAGGGAGTAGCCTTACTAGATAATAAACCTAGAACAAAGGCCTTATAATTAAAATAGTGTAAAGTTAGTGCACAGACAGACTGACCAATGGAACAAAATAGAAAATCCAGAAATTATAAATGGAATTTCAGTATATGATAAAGTCAGTTTCTCAGATCTTTGGATTAAATATAGACTTTTAAATAATGGTGCTGAAACAAGAGGATAACCGTTCGTAAAAGTATCAAATAATATCCATTCCTCACCCAATACAAAAGAGTAAATTACAAACCAAGCAAAGTCTGAATGTAATAAATGAAACATTATTTGAGTGAATTCTATAACCTGTTCTATAACTTGAGTGCACCTAGAAAAAAAGCTTTCTAATTATGACTTTAAAAAAAAAGACTTGGTAAACTTGATTACAAAGAATTCTATAACCTGTTCTATAACTTGAGTGCACCTAGAAAAAAAGCTTTCTAATTATGACTTAAAAAAAAAAGACTTGGTAAACTTGATTACAAAGCAATTTTTTTTTTTTTTGTCTTTTTGTCTTTTTGTCTTTTTCCGTGTCCGGCAACGGATCGCAACCCTCAGTGTTGCCCCCGCACCGGACCGGGGACTGGCAACGGGATTGCAACCCTCGGTGTTGCTCCCGCGCCTCGCTCAGCCAGTGAGCGGGAACCGGTCTGTATGTGGGATCCGAATCCTCGGGCGGGAGCGCCGCCGCGCTTCCCAAGCAGCGCACTTATCCAGTGTGCCACCGGGCCGGCCCTACAAAGCAATTTTTAAACAAACTCTGAAAGGCATAAAATGCCATAAGCAAAGTCAAACTGAAAGAAAATCACAGTATATATCACAGATAAAGGACTAATATCCCTAATATTATAGAGGGGAAAGAAAGTCAAAACTCACCCATAGTAATGGTTGCACAACTCTGTAAATATGCTAACAACCATTGATTTATAATTTGAAATAGGTGAACTTTGTGGTGTATAAGCTATGTCTCAATAAAGTGTTTTTTAAAAACCTACAGAAGAATAGATTTTAAAAAACTTGTAAGAAAATCACTCCCCAAAAAGATATAAAAATGGTTTTTATATATTTAAAAGAGAAACGCAAATTATAAGAGAAATGCAAATTAAAAACACACAAAGATTCTATTTTTCACCCATCAGAATGACAAAATTTTAAAAGCTTGATAATACACTCTGTTGATGAGCATGTGGGGAACAGGCTGTCTCATCAATTGTTGGCAGGAATGCAAAAAATTCCGATGAAAGGAAATTAGGCAATATCTTCTATTCAATTATCCCACTTCCAGGAATTTCACCTCCCAACAATACAAATATACACAGGGCAAGACTATGCATTGCTGCTTTATTTATAATTCAAAATATTGGATAGGATCCCTAAACTGGCCAGCTGCCAAAAATAAAAAAAATAAAAAATAAAGGATCAGAAAGATATCTATACAATGCATGGATTTCCAGAATTTTTTAAATGAAAAAAAGCAAAGAACAAATGAATATATACAGTATCCTACCTTTTGTGTAAGAAAAATGAAATTATAAAACACATATGAGCTGCTCATCTTACAAAAAGAAACACATAAAGGACAAACCAGAAAATAATGAAGTTGGTAACCTATGGGATTGGGGGGTTAGGGGTTTGGAGAGTTGGAGTGGAAGGGATAGGGGAAGAAGTAGTAATATCTGAGTAAATCCATACACAGTTCGGACTTTTTGAAGTATAGTAATATTCCACATACCAAAAAACTAAAATTATATCAACAGGGATAAAAAAAGAAAATCTTAAAACTAAAAGTGTACTAAAACAAATGGACCCAATCGTATTTCAAATGAATAAAATAACCACACTAAAATGGAGGAAAAAAAGACTGTAAAGAATACTGTGCTCAACATCATGCCCTTTGTTTCAAAACACACCCACACACAACACAGGTGCATGTATTTTCTGTAGTCATGTATGTAGATATTTGAGTGAATGTAAAAAATAAATTAAAAAATAAAATAAAATACATTCAAAAGTTCCAACAAAGGAGAAAAAAACAGAACTAATCCTAGTACCTTCTGAACACAGTATGAAGTGAGTACACACCCTTGTCTAGCGACAGGGAAGAGGAAGAGGGAGGACTGGAAACAAATCCTGAACGCTCTTTAGTAGGTTGGTTTTTTAGACAGAGGGGAGTGGAGGTAATAGTAGTAAATGGAGCATTCCTGAAATGATCTTAAATGTATTGTAGGAGTAAGTAAATGTGGAAATGTCTTAATGTTAAGTGTCAGGATTTTAAATGTACAAGAAGGGAGATAAAACATAGTTGGAGAAGGCAAGGAGAGCCACTCAGGAATAGGCTGGAATTAGAGGCATCAGTGTGAACACATGATTTCACGTGTGTGTGTGTGTGTGCGTGCACACGTGCGTGTTTACATTTCTTAGCTCTATCCCTGAAAGGGCTTAGAAGTAAANTACCAAAAAACTAAAATTATATCAACAGGGATAAAAAAAGAAAATCTTAAAACTAAAAGTGTACTAAAACAAATGGACCCAATCGTATTTCAAATGAATAAAATAACCACACTAAAATGGAGGAAAAAAAGACTGAGCATGTGGGGAACAGGCTGTCTCATCAATTGTTGGCAGGAATGCAAAAAATTCCGATGAAAGGAAATTAGGCAATATCTTCTATTCAATTATCCCACTTCCAGGAATTTCACCTCCCAACAATACAAATATACACAGGGCAAGACTATGCATTGCTGCTTTATTTATAATTCAAAATATTGGATAGGATCCCTAAACTGGCCAGCTGCCAAAAATAAAAAAAATAAAAAATAAAGGATCAGAAAGATATCTATACAATGCATGGATTTCCAGAATTTTTTAAATGAAAAAAAGCAAAGAACAAATGAATATATACAGTATCCTACCTTTTGTGTAAGAAAAATGAAATTATAAAACACATATGAGCTGCTCATCTTACAAAAAGAAACACATAAAGGACAAACCAGAAAATAATGAAGTTGGTAACCTATGGGATTGGGGGGTTAGGGGTTTGGAGAGTTGGAGTGGAAGGGATAGGGGAAGAAGTAGTAATATCTGAGTAAATCCATACACAGTTCGGACTTTTTGAAGTATAGTAATATTCCACATACCAAAAAACTAAAATTATATCAACAGGGATAAAAAAAGAAAATCTTAAAACTAAAAGTGCACTAAAACAAATGGACCCAATCGTATTTCAAATGAATAAAATAACCACACTAAAATGGAGGAAAAAAAGAATGTAAAGAATACTGTGCTCAACATCATGCCCTTTGTTTCAAAACACACCCACACACAACACAGGTGCATGTATTTTCTGTAGTCATGTATGTAGATATTTGAGTGAATGTAAAAAATAAATTAAAAAATAAAATAAAATACATTCAAAAGTTCCAACAAAGGAGAAAAAAACAGAACTAATCCTAGTACCTTCTGAACACAGTATGAAGTGAGTACACACCCTTGTCTAGCGACAGGGAAGAGGAAGAGGGAGGACTGGAAACAAATCCTGAACGCTCTTTAGTAGGTTGGTTTTTTAGACAGAGGGGAGTGGAGGTAATAGTAGTAAATGGAGCATTCCTGAAATGATCTTAAATGTATTGTAGGAGTAAGTAAATGTGGAAATGTCTTAATGTTAAGTGTCAGGATTTTAAATGTACAAGAAGGGAGATAAAACATAGTTGGAGAAGGCAAGGAGAGCCACTCAGGAATAGGCTGGAATTAGAGGCATCAGTGTGAACACATGATTTCACGTGTGTGTGTGTGTAGAAGGGAGATAAAACATAGTTGGAGAAGGCAAGGAGAGCCACTCAGGAATAGGCTGGAATTGGAGGCATCAGTGTGAACACATGATTTCACGTGTGTGTGTGTGTGTGCGTGCGTGCACACGTGCGTGTTTACATTTCTTAGCTCTATCCCTGAAAGGGCTTAGAAGTAAAAACGCCTTTGTGGCAATAAACATGGCTAATATCCAGAGCCTACTAAAGGAAACCAGTACTCCTTTGAAAAATGGCAAATTTCAGAGTTAGGGCAGCAAAAATATAAGATAAATCTTATAGGTCAAAAGGGCATAAGAAGTACCAGTATCAACATAATAAGAAGGGAAGAATGTATTATAAATCACTGGGGATAAAAGTACCAAAGAGTTCACACTGATTAAATACAGATCAACAAATGAGCAAAAAGTGAGGACTCTTCATTACAGTAGGATGCCGAGTGTCAAATGGTATTATGCGGAAAGAGTGCTAGAGTTGAAAAATCATCACTTTGCAACTATCATAGTAAAGACTGGTTTGAGCAAGAACCAAAAATGGATGCTAAATCTAGCAGGAAAATTTTGATGAGAAACAGAGTATTTACATGATTTTAATGATTCTCCCCATAGACTCCTTACAAGAGGACAAATAACTACACTGCAGAGAAACTGAAAAACATTTTGACTGAGTGATCAAAATCATCACCACCAATGAGTGGCAGACAGACAAAGGTGACTGTAACTCCCCAAGAAGGACAAAAGAGCAGGAGTGTATATCCTGAACCTAATCATAAGGAAATATCAGACAAGCCAAAATGAAGAATATTCTAATTTTAAAAGGGTGAACGGGCTCTATTCCCCAAAAATGCCAGTGTCATAAAAGACAAAGACTGAGAAATTGTTCTAGATCAAAGAAAAGACACAGATGACAGATTAAAGTATTATATCATTATTAAATTTTCTGAGCCTGATATCTGTACTGTGGTTAATAAGAGAATGTCCTTATTCTTAGTAAAAACACACAAGTTCTTAGGAGTAAAAGAGCATGATGTATGTAACTTATAGTCAAATGGTTCTGAAAATACAATGTATAAAATAGAGAACCAATGACAAAGCAAACAGGGCAAAATGTTAATAACTGGCGAACATGAGTAAAGGAAATTCTTTGTACTGCTCTTGCAATCTCTCCCTAAGCTTGAAAGTATTTTTTTAAAAAAACATTTTTAAAAAGGCATATCTTACATTTCTCAGTGCTTCATAAACAGCTCTAAATGCTGGTTGCTTATCATCATGGTAAACACCTCTGTTCCCATGAAGAATAAAGATTCCTTCTTCTTCTGCTTCTTGGCAATTGCTTCCATATATACAATGATCCGGTCGATAATTCCATTGACACGGAAAAACATAAAGGCTTTCTATGTGAAGAAAGACCAAACAATGAAACAGATACTCCTAATTCCATAGAATTAACACTTTGCAGAAAGTTTAGTTTAAAAATACAGCTCTTAGAGGATAAAATTTTAAACAGTAAAAAATATGTTTGGCATTTAGATCTCTTCCAACTAAATCAACATTCAAGAAAAGTTTTACTGTCTTCAACATAATGATAACCATTAATATAAGCCAAAATCAAATAAATGTATTTCTTTCTTTTTGACTAAATACTGCCTTTTTTTTTTTTTTACAAATGCAAAGAATAAAAGGAATTTAAATGATTACCTGGATTATGAAAAAACATGATATTCAATAGATCTTGATCACCCCATGTGATGTTTAGTTTGTATTTTTTAAGCAATGGCATAAGTATATCTCCCCATCGTAGTCGTACAGTTGTCATATCATTCTGTTGATAAAAACATTAAAAAGATCCTCAGACTTCCAGGTTTAAAATGGCAGCATGACAATGGTTCCCCATTCTTTCCTTAGCAACCATTGCAGAGTCACAAGGAGAAACACAAATTTCTTTTGTTAGAAAACCAAGTGGCATGGGCCGGCCTGGTGGCGCACTGCTACAGTGCACCGCTTGGGAGTGTGGCGGCGCTCCTGCCGAGGGTTCGGATCCCACATACAGACCGGTTCCCGCTCACTGGCTGAGCGAGGTGCGGGTGCAACACCGAGGGTTGCAATCCCGTTGCCGGTCCTGGTCCGGTACGGGCGCGACACTGAGGGTTGCGATCCGTTGCCGGACACGAAAAAAGACAAAAAAAAAAGCAAATGCCACTTGGTTTTCTTTTTTTTTTTTTTCCTTTTTGTCTTTTTTCGTGTCCGGCAACGGATCTCAACCCTCAGTGTCGCGCCCGTACCGGACCGGGACCGGCAACGGGATTGCAACCCTCGGTGTTGCGCCCGCACCTCACTCAGCCAGTGAGCGGCCGGTCTGTATGTGGGATCCGAACCCTCGGCGGGAGCGCCGCTGCGCTCCCAAGTGGCGCACTGTAGCAGGGCGCCACCAGGCCGGCCCATGCCACTTGGTTTTCTAACAAAAGAAAGTTGCGTTTCTCCTTGTGACTCTGCAATGGTTGCTAAGGAAAGAATGGGGAACCATTG